AATTATAGGCCGATTTTTTAATCTTTAATAAAGCCAAAAGATATTATAAATTATATAATAAATAAGTTCTAATAGGAGCCTGAAGAAACTAAAATTTCATATATAGAATTAGATTAATTTCAGGATAATATATAGTAATTATAAGCGGCAAACTAATATATAAATAAGACTAGTCTAATTCCGATAAATAGATACTTATAGATTACTATTTAAGCCGCTTAATTCCCCTTACTAGATATTCTATATATTTAAATTGGGTTTCTTTTCTATCTACTTCTTTTTATAATAACTACTCTTAAGAATATATTATTTATTTAATTTATATTTCTCTTATTAAACCTACTATTCTATAATAGAAATACTCTCTGGCCTTTTAAGCCCAGCCGTTTAATCTCTTTATTTAATACTAGTAATAGCCAGAGAATATATAGGCCTATAGCTACTTCTTTATATTCTAGATATTAAATTAAGGCAAAGAGAAATATAGTAATAAGAGCTAAAGATATATAAATAAGCTATACCGAAAGTGAATTTGTTCTATATATTCTAGCTAATAATAATAATTAATTAGATAATAATCTTTTATTTCTCAAAAAGCAGTTTCGAGTAATTCTATATCCAAAGATCTCAATTAAGGCCTCGAATACCGGATCTACCCTTTAGTATCTGAAATAGTTAGCTTTTTTTTATTAGACTAGACTATAAATTAACCAAATATAATTAAGGCTAAGTAAAGGTCAAAATAGTAATTGAGATAGATATATTGGCTATCTTTTATATTCAGAAGCGAGCTGCTAATTATATATAGATTAACTAGTAATTCTCGATAATAACTATCTAATTAAAGCAAATACTGGAAATAAAGCCAAAGGTACTTCCGGTAATAGTAATACTAGATATATTAAACAGGATATAAGTCTATATAATATCTTTATAACCTCAGAACTCGCTTCTAAGCCATATAGTATACCTTCTGCTTCCGTATAAGCCTAATTCCAGACCTTTCCCCAATTCTTTAGGCTACTATAAGACTAGACTAATTAGTAAGGTATTAATAATATTACTCAGAATATATTAGTAGAGTTTATATTCCACTTTCTCTCCAGGCCTTCTAATAGTAGTAATAATAGATAAATAGATAAAAATATAGCTGAATTAGAGAAAGAACTGGGTTTGGCTTTGGGAAAGTAATAAGTGAAATCGTTATTAGCCGGTATATCTACCTTTCCAAGTTCTTGTATGGCCGAGATACTATAGGACGAGATCCAGAGTCGAGAAAGTACCGAAAATACCAGTAGTAGACCAGAAGAGCTATAAGATACTTCTTGCAGTACCCCAGTTCAGGACCTTAAATAGAAGCAGTAGGAGACTGAGGTAATAGTAGAAAAAAGAGCCGAAATAATACTATAGCAGGAAAACCTTATAGTATAGAATAAAGAGCTCGGGCAGCTAGCTATAGGTAATTAGTAGAACTTGGTTAAGATTATTAATATGGACCCTGAAAATAAAGAGGCTACCGAGGCTCTACTAGCTATATAATCCAAGATTTCCGAGATTAATAAGTACCGTTTTCGATTATATAGGATATAAGTTCAGTAGCTTATTAGATATTAGATAAAAATAACCCAGTACCGAGTTATATAGGGGAAATATCTAAACAGGTCGGATTCTTGGTTTAATAAAAATAATATATAGATATTAATACTTTATAAACTATATTCTTAAGACTTGGCTCTATAGGTAAATATTTTCCGAGTTTGTAATATATACTCTAGCCTATATAAAGGCAGAAAAGTTTTCGAATACCTGGTTAATATATTTGGTTTTAATAGCTATACCTGAACTACTAAAAATTAATTAAGAATCTCATTTAGCCCTATATTAGTTACTAAGCTTAAAGGTAACTAGTTGCCTTATAAATATTAAAGAGGGGCAAATAGGGATACTAAAATATATATTAAGAACTAGAATACTCGGGATATTATCTTAGTAAGAAGGAGAGAAGGAGAGGAGGAAAGAGCTATATATAGGAGTAGTGAATAGCCAAGAGCACCTGACTAGCCACGTGACCCGTTACCTGATTCCCTACTATAATATCCCGTTTTGGAAATCTTAAGAAATAGATTACTAACGGAATATATCTTGAATAGTATTTTCTCTCTATCTTTTAAATAAAATATAATATAATACGGTTTTTAGATATTTAGTAATTCTGATTCTTAGTAATAAGTACTACTATAGTAGGGTTTTTTCTCTCTTATCCCGTGACTACCGTTACGTGTCCTGCTTCCCAGGCATACTGGCGCTAGTTTAAGGGGTTATATAAGACCTTCGTCTATACGTACAATTAGCCTCTCCAAGATATTAACCTTCGGAGCCCCTTATTTTTAACTATTTATATTATTTCGTTACTAGTATTAAAAGTCTTAAGATTACTACTTCTACTTATTTAGCTTCCTATCCCTTTTACCTCTACCTATACATCCAACGCCTATATATAGTCCGAAATCCATATAATAATCAAATCCCTATTATACTACTATATATTACTAGCCTCTTGCTTCTCTATTTCAGCTAACCCGGTACTAGGGAACAAGCCTATAATACTAAAGTAAGGATACTAAAAGCTATATATAGAGTTTAGTAGTAATACTTATTATACCGTAAATACTAATAATAATTATAATACCTGTAATATAAGTAATAAGGACCTATAACCTATAAAGTAATAAAAGCCATATTTAGTATATACTATAACTCTAACTACTTCCCGAGAATATATTCTAGAGTTCTATATCGGATAGCCTGGCCCTCTTATAGTATTATTAACTATTATACCTGAGATTAATAATATATAACCTTAGGTTAATTATAAATATCCGTTAATCTTTATTAATAATAGCTACTAGTATATCTTGTAACTTTCTTAAAGCCCGTTTATAATATTAGAAATAATACTAGTTACTAAATATTACAAGTAGCCTTTTTAAGGCTTTTTCAAATATATTAGAATCGGGAATAATATAATATATAATTTTAAGTTTAAACTATTATTAATCTCAGAATATCTTTACTTACTAATTAATTCTAATATATTAGATATTAATTATAATACTACTAAATATCCTAAGATATATCAGATATTATTAAAGCTAAAAAAGAGCAGGATTTTATAGATAGAAGATAATATAAAGCTGGCCCAGATATGAAATAAAGGCTATTTATAGAAATATATCTTTACTATTCTCTCTAACCGGAGTAAAGAGTCTATTTAAATATGCTATTTAATAAAATTCAAAAAGCGACCTTATATAAGAACCTGTTATTCTTGAACTAAAGGAGGGGCTAATTACTTTATTAGTATTAGGGCTCCTATATTAGAGAAGGTTAAACTATTAAATAGTAGTAATAATAATAATTTAAAAGGTTCTTATAAGGCCAGGCCTGTTCGAGTATAAGGAAGTACTACTAATAATTAGATCTAGACAAGTAGTACTTGCTAGTATATAAGGAGGGCAAGACTTGGCCCTGGACTTTTAAGAAGTTCTGAGGCAGACCCCGACTACTATATATACTGGAATATAATTCGGCCTAGAGACGAGTAGGCTTTCTTATATATATAAATATATGGCAGTTTAAAATATATTCTATTTATCTCTTGGTATTTGCTTGGGCGAATATCTAAAAAGAGCTTTAAAGCAAGTAGGATAGAAGGGTTTCTAAGGCTTTCTCAAATGTATTAAATACTTTTACTTACTAATTTATCCTAATATATTAGATATTAATTATAATACTATTATATATTCTAAGATATATCAAGTACTATTAAAGTTAAAGAGTTTTATATATCCTGTATTTTATAGATTTCTGATTCGTTATTTCCTGTGGCTTTAATAAATTGCGGTATTTAATTATAAATAAAGTATAAAGAATAGTATATTATATTAACTACTATAAGCTATACCTTAACCTGTTTCTTGGTCTAGTATAGTTCCGGTATATACGAGCCTAAAGTAATAGTATTTAAGCTATTAATATAGATTATTCTCTAATATAACCCTATTATCTTTAATACCTTATTCTTTGGCTAGAGTCCAGATTAGATATAAAAGATTTGTATTTTAATATTTATAAAGCCTATCTTATATATTATATTAGCTATTAAAAGTATAATATCGAGATTAAGACTAAAGGAAGTATATATAAATAATTAGAGATTCCAGAATTAAGGCTAGGGATAGTCTAGAGGTATAGAACTATTATAGTAAAAGAATTAATAATAGATTTCCTAAAGCTCGAACTAGCGGCCTAGTTTAAGGTAACTATAGAAACTATTTTAGAGAATACTATAGTACTTTTAATAAAATACTATAAGTTTTATATTAGATCTTCTATATTTACTAGACTATATTATTATAAGTCTATATAGTTAGTATTATATTATATAATTATATTTATTTAATCTAGTATAATGGATTCTAATATTATATGAATTTATATACCCTAAAACTAATTTTTAATCTTTTTGCTTTGTTTCTATCTTTTATATTATATAATATCGGCCCTATATATTTATAAAAGTATATAAAAGTTTCCTTTAGGCTCTACTATACTTCCTTTATATAATATCCTATAGGTAATCTATCTATTACTAGCTAGAGAGAATTAGACTACCCAGAAAAAAGATTATAGCTAATATCCTTTATAATACTATAGAAATATAAATAGAATAGTAATAACAAGTTTTGGGTCTATCTTATTATTAGAGGATAAAATATTTCTCGAATATTTCCAAAATTATTAGCTAATCTTATAATAGTATAGATAAAATAATAGCTGCCCTCTTTATATCTCTTCTTAATATCCTAAAAATATAACTTTAAATCAAGTTCTATAAATTATATACTAGTATTCTTCTATAGTACTTCTCTGGCTCTTATCTTTATAAGATCTTTCGAATACTTATCTCAATATATAGATTAGAAGAATAGTATACTTATTTTAAGGGCATTAGACTAATACTTTCAGGTGCCGTTTCTATAAATACTATTAAGTTCTATATATATAGAAATATAAAGCGGATTCTGTCTAATATAAATAATAGTTATAAAACTACTTGGGTTTATTTAATAGCTACTATTACTATAGGTATTATTATAAGTACTACTATAAATCCGATCTGAGTTATAAAGACTAGGCTATAGTTAAATAGATTATTAATTCTCTAATAAGAATAATTTGGGATTAAAGAATATAAAAGTAATATGAATTATACCCGCCAAATTTTATAATAAAAAAGAGTATAGGGTTTATATCGGGGCTTAATAGTAAGCTATTTAGGGGTTATAGAAAGTATACTATACTAGGTCTTATATAAGTAGACGAAGCTCTTTCTTACTAGAGAAGAGCTATTATTATCTAAAGAATTACTTTAGGATAAGGCTATAGGATAGAGTATAAGACTCGATACTACTAGAAATATAAAGTTAGTTATAGTATTTATTATATATTTATACGAGGTATATCCTTCTAAAACCCTTTCCTTCTCTCAAACTAATACTTTATAAATAGGTAGTAAGAATCAGGCTATAAGAAGTTCCCGAAAATAGAAAATAAAAATATACTAGCTTACTTTAATACTTTTATCTAATTTAGAAAAATAAGGGCTTTGCCTCTTTTTATAGAGGTTTTACTTTATATCTTTTAAGAATAGTTCCATTTACCGCTATTATATTTAGGGTTTATAAAGCTATCTTAAAAGCTATAAACTAGATCGGGCGATTTATATAAGAGAGTATAGAAGTATTATAGTAAAGTATTTGGGATATATATTAATTTGGTTCTTATATTAAATAGAAATAAAATATTAAAGCTTTACTTAAAACAAATTATAAATAACTTAAAATAGAAATAAAATAGAAACCAAAATCCTATATTAGAACGGAAAAACTATAGGCCAATTTTATAAGACAATCGGATTTGGCTAGAACCTATAGTTAGTTAGCTTAATTAGCCTATACTAATAAACTATTAGCTGCTATTAATAGAAGTTAATAATTAATACTTACCTCTTTCTACTTTTTAGGAACCTGTCTATTTCTATTATAATTAATATAGGCTGTTTTACTATCTGCTATTCCCGATTCTTTATAAAGACTATACTTTTCTATTTCTGGTATAATAATAATAGCTATAGACTACTAATCAAGAATTACTATAAAATAATAAAATATAAAATGTAATTAATATATCTTTAAATATAAGAAGTATATATATATATATATATATATAATTTGAAGGTATAGCTTAATAAGCTATAGTTTCTGATATATATTAATAATAGGCTCTAAAGTAATTTATATTTGAGGCTATAGTATTTATACTCAATCCTATAATAAAGACTATAAAATAAAAACCGGTTATAGTTTATAGTAAGTCTAAAGTATAGTTTATAATAAGCCTGAAGTATGGTTTATAGTAAGCCTGAAATATGGTTTATAGTATATCTGCTATATTTTAAACTTGTAATTAAATATTAGTTATTCTATTATCTACTAATAGGGGGCCCCTAAAGATTAAGGGTTTGCTTTTTATTAGAATAAGGTAACCTATATATACCCTCCAAATAGTTTATAGCTATATTTATTCTTAATAATATAACTAGACTAGGCCTATACCTCTATTACTAATTATCTATATACCTATAGGCAACTGCTCTTATATTATATATATATAAGCCTTATCTCAAGCTATATATATAGCTTATATATTACTAGTAGGAACTCCTCTATAATAACTTTTACTTTCTCTTTATTAGCTATAATAGTTATAATTAGCCAGATTTATAAATACTTTTTCCCTAATAACTAGTAATATACTATATCTTTTTTATATTCTCTATAAGTTCCTTAAACCGAGTTTTGAACTTATTAGCCAGACCAAATTATATATATTAAGGCGGGTATAAAGGAAATTTAGTTATTAGTAGTATTATAAGAATTGCTTGCTTTTGCCTATAATTATATTAAATTAGAGATATATTATCGAGAATACTAAATACCCGGTTTTAAGAAATACCTAATTATTATTATATCTCTATCTATAGCAGAGAACGCTACTAAAGGATATTATAATAGGCTTAGTAAAGTCGAAATATAACTATTTAAAGCTAGAAGTCAATATTATTAAGTTTTCCCTAAAACTTTATAATAGCTATAATAGAAGGATTTACTTATTAATTACCCAAACTCTATTCTACCTATATCTAGCCTATCAAAATTTTCTCGATTTTTTAAAGTCTTTGGAAAATTCTGAAAACTTTTTAGATTATAGAAAATATTCGAAATATTACTTATTATATTAATTCTTCGAATTTGTAGTATTAAGGTCTCTAAAATCCAAGTTAAGCGGAAAGGAAGTATAGGTAATTAATAGGTAAACCCTTCTAGGCCTATAATTTGTAGTTATATTTATTTAATAGTATTCGGAGAATTGGAATAAGATTAAATCTCAAAGAATTAAATTTCTAGAATCTTTCTAATTAAAGCCTAGTATATATTTAGCTAGAACAGTCGGATTACTTAGTAAATTATAGTTTGCGGGACATTTGCAAACTGCTAATAGTTTTTATTTCACCTCTACTACAGATACCTAATTTCTGTTATATATTAGAATTCCGCCGGACGGATAGTATAGGATAGGAAAATACTTTTTCGGTAAAAGTAATAATATCTTTAAACCTAAACGTTATTTGACTTACTATAATAGCTCTAATATTAACCCTCAAGTCTATAGCTTTAATAAATTTATTACTAGAGAAAAACCCGCAGAAAGCCATTTTAGAAAATAGGGTTTCCTATATAGAAGACCCCGTTATTAGAAATCGAGTTAATAAGATTATATAAAAGGAATTCCTATTTAAGATAAAAAAGAAATTAAACTTTTGCAAAATAAATACTTGTAATAATAAGATAAGTAAATAGACTAACCTATATAATAGCTATATTTTTATTAATATATTCTAGTATATTTAATATTCTCTCGAGTTCTTTTTTAAATAGTCTAGCCTAGAATTATATAAAGCATTCGGCTATAATTCAAGTTATATATATTTCTTTCTAACTAGAATAGAAATAGAGGCAGAGATAAAAATAAAAATACGGGCTTTTATAGTTTAATTATAAAGTAGTAAATTACAAATAGTATTCTATAATAACTTGTATTTTTTATTACTACTTATAAAGGCTACTAAAAATAGTTTACTAGAAACCTCTCTTAATTAGCTAAAATAATCGGATATTAAATAAATCAAAGTTAAAATAAAGAATAGTAGCCTATAAGCTTGAATTATATTATTCTTATTATAGAAGCTAATAAATACTATAGAGCTATATTAAATAGTATATTTCGCTTTATAATTATATAAGATAAAGTAATTATTTGAATTTATAAAACGAAAAGAACTCGAATAATAGAGTAAAATATATCTTTTAAATAACTAGAATCTCAAGTAAAAAGTTACTTAAATAGAAAATATAACTATTAGAATAAACTTTAAGTTTAATAACTGAATTTGGTATAGAAAGATACTAAAAGGTAATACTTCTTTTATTATAGAACTTATAAAGTTAAGAATATATTGTAGCTAGTAGTTAAATACTAAGATAAGCTAATAGAAAATACGGATTTTAAAGTATATTTATCCCGTTTTATAGAAGCTAGTAAAAATATATATATTAGAATTATAACTACCTATAATAACTAGTAGCTAAAATAAATATGTGAACCGTTTATAAGGTTCTATATAATACCGATATTTCCTTATTAGTAAGTTGAATATTACTCTAATATTTACCTATTATATTATATTCTACTGAAATTATCTTTACTAGTAAAATTATATACTAATAAATAGTTTAATAACTTGAAAATTCATCTAATATATAAGAAGTAAAAAGAGATATTCTATAAAGATATATTATTTTATATTAATATTATATTAAAATACTAGATAATTCATTTATTATATATAGGCTTATATTTATTATATTTTTATATTTCTGGTTAGAATAATTCGAGAATCTATTTATAGGATAAGAGAAAAGTAGTACTTTTCCAAAAGTTCCTATATACTAATTACCTATAAAGGTTTCATTACTTCTAAGAAAATATTATAAGAAGTCTATTTCCCTTAAGAAATATATACTAGTATTACTACTTAAGTTTATAGATTTATTTATATTATAATTTAATTAAAATAACGCCCTTATATAGTATATAGAAATAAGAGTACTATTTAATAATATACTAAAATAAATAGATATTACTATTTCTATAGAAAAAGTTAGTAATATCTTTACTATAATAAAAGAGACCTTACTTATAGTAATATCCTTAGTTCCGGATACTTAATAGAATAAGCCTAAACTAATTACTATAGTAATATCTCTATTATTTTCTTTTATAATTTACGGCTTTTAAGACTAGTATATATATTCTAGATCTAGATCTACTAGCTCTAGTACTTGCTTTTTATTACTTGTTTCTTGGGATAAAACCTCTTTATTAGAGGTATTAGCTCTTATAGGCATTTTTAATTTCAGCTTCTAAATAGCCCTTCTATATAGAATTATCCGTTATTTAATTATAATACTTTCTTTCGAATTAAACTCGGGGCCTTACTAAGCCTTCTTTTTAGTTTTATAGATATTAAAGTATATTATATATTTATATATTTAATCTATCTTAAGATTATAGAAGATACAAGTTTTGTAATATGAAATATCTATAAATTAGATCTATTAGCCTTTTTCAAATCCTATATATTTTAAAAATAGAAAGAAATATAAATAGTATAATATTAAAAGAGGTTTTTCTATAAGAATAATACTCTTAGTTACTTGCTATTATAATTCATATAAGAGCAGAAGAGCTTTTTATATCCGTTATAATTATTAACTAGATTATTAGTATTATTATTATTAGAGCCCTTATAATCTTTCTTATTAGAGAGTTTAGAATTAAAATATATAAAGCATTTCTATAATTCGGTAAATAAATACTATATATAAGACTAGAAAGTAGTTAGAATTAATAAACTATAGCTAGAACTTCCTATTACAAACCCGGAAAGCTTTAATATACTTTTATAGTTCCTTATTACTAGAGAAATACTAAAGGCAAG